CCAGCCCCTCCCCACCCTCCCAGCCAGGAATCCCTTCCCAATCTCCCATCTCTCCCTGCCCTCTGGCACTGGGAAGCCATTCCCTGTGTCCTGTCCCTCCATTCCTCATCCCAAGTCCCTCTCCAGCTCTCCTGGAGCCCCTTTAGTCTCTGGAATTCTGATCCCGGCCCTGCTCCAAGCAGGACCAAGCTCAGAGCTGGACACGGAGCTCAGGGCCCGCCCGGATGTGATTCCAGCATCTCCAGGGATGAAACCCTGAGGCTGTGCAGGGAGGAGCAGCCACATCCCTCAGGCCTTGGGGGGAAAAATCCCCCTTTCCCAAGGCAAAATGGAATTTCCGTGTCCAAACTGGCCCTTCCCAACAGCAGGAATACCATGCCCAGTTTTGGACCCCTCGTGACAGGGAAGACACTGAGGGGCTGGAGCTGGAAGAGAACGGAGCTGGGAAAGGGGCTGGAGCAGCAGGAATATCTGAGGGAGCTGGGAAGGGGCTCATCCCGGAGAAAAGAGGGATCAGAAGGGATCTTTTCCCACCCCACAACTCCCTGACAGGAGGGAGGAGCCGGGGGGGGTCCCCAATTCCCAGGGAACAAGGGACAGGAGGAGAGGGAACGGCCTCCAGCTGGGCCAGGGAAGGCTCAGGTGGGATTTTGGGAACAATTCCCGCATGGAAAGGGCTGTTAAACATCAGAATGAACTTCTCAGGGGAGGGGTGGAATCCCCACTCCCTGGAGGTGTCCAAGGACGTGGCACTCAGGGCTCTGGTGGGGGTGGGTCACAGGTTGGATTTGATGACCTTGGAGGTCTTTTCCAACCTGAATAATTCCGGGATTCATCCAGGGCCTGTTGGAGGTGTTATTTCCCACTTCATGGGGGGCACCAGGCAGAGGATCCTGAGCTTCTTCACCCCCTCCAACCCCTTCCCGAGCTCCTCCAGCTCCCTGAAGCTCCTTAAGGAGACCTAATGTGGTTATCCCACTTCCCTCCCCATCCAGGGATGCGGAAATGTCTTGGACCTTCATCCCACTCCTCCTCATCCCACCGGCACAAAGCTCCAAGCTCCCAATGTTCCCGATGGGAATGAACCATCAGCAAGAGCCCGCAGCCCATTTTGGTGTTTTTCCACCCCGAATTTGGGGCAGTTAAGCCCTTTAAACCTCCGTTTATTAAAGTTTGCCCACGGGCAGGATGCAGCCCTGGAATCAGCCACCAGATCCTTGGAAAACCCCTGGAAAATCGGCCGGAGGTACCTGCGCAGGGGCCAGGAAAGGATGGGGGGGGTCATTTTTGGGGGGTTCCTTTTTTTGGTGAGTGGTACCCAAAGAGGGCCCAGGGGAGGAGATGATGCTCCAGGGGATGTTTTTCCGTCGTGGAGGGATCAGCTGCCCTACAAAATCCCGGGGTTAATTAGGAAAATAATCAGGAAACATCCCAAAACAGACAGGGACATCCTCACCCCCCTCCAGCCGCAGGATTTACGGGATCCACGAGGCCACGGGAGCGACTCAACTTCCCAGCTCCAGAGTTTTCAGGTGGCTTTGGAGCCTTCTCCGTGTTTCCCTCGTGCCAGATCCCACCTGCTTTATGCCCTCATCCCAAAAAGGATCGTGGCTTTTCCCTCTCTCTGAATCCTCCCACTTTGCCTCGCCAGGGATGTGAATCCCACCCCCCCAAACCGCTCCCAAAAAAAACCCCTTTAAAACCGATTTATATTCGTGTTTCCCCCCCCCCTTAATTTTACAAAGGGTCAGTTTTCCCAGCTCCCAAATCCCAGCAGAGCAGGCTGTGGGTGCCTGGAAAAACCTGGGAAGGCTGGAAAAAAATGGGATTTTTCTCCTTTTTTTTAGCGGGCTGGATTTGGGCAGTTCAGCTGTCAATTATCCCTCTGTTAATTAGCAGGGCCGTAAACGACGTCACCCCGATGTCATTTGCTGCCTCCTGCTCCTGCCAGCTCAACATCATCCCCATCATCATCATCATCATCATCATCAAAAAAACCCTTTGGCCAAATTTGGGGAGAAAAGGGAGCGGGAATAAACACTAAAAAATGGTTATTTTGAAGGGGGGAGGAGGGGGATGTGGGGGGAACGGAGCCCTGAGAGGTTGGAAAAATTATCCCAGGAAAGGACAAAAGGAGCACAAAGCCTTCCCCACTCCCTGCTCGAGAGCCAGGGAATACGGTCCTTATGGAAAATCCGGGAGAAACCCGAAGGAAAATGTTTATTTAAAAAAAAAGAATTTGTGATATGAAGTGAAAAAAACCCACATAAATTTGAAGTTTATTTATTAAAATATAAAATATATATATAAAAATATTAAAATACATATTAAAATCCAGTCTCCAGCACTCTCGGCAGGAGTCTCCAACCCTATTTTTCCCAAAAACATCCCAAATCCAGGCTTTCCTCTTGAGCCCAGAGCGGGGCAGGTCTCCTCCCAGCGCTCCTGTGATGTCATATCCCGCCGCTTTGGGGCATTTCCCTTCATTTCCTGATGGTTTTTTTTTCACCCTGGCACATCCCAGGTGGTCTCACCTGGGGGCACAAACACTTCCATGGATCGGCCTTATCCCAGTGGAAAAACCTTTCCCTCCCAGCTCCAGCCCTTCCCAGGGAGTCATTACAAGGAATTATCGAGATGGGATCACAGTGCCACGGCACGTTTTAGGGTTTAATTGCCAGGGTGGGGCAGGTGGGGCTTGGGGGGGGTCCTGGCTCCGCGAATTCCCACTTAAAAGCGGGGAAAAAAACCGGGATAATGCTGCTCTGCAGGAGAAACCGCTGAAGGTCAAGATGGATTTGGCCTTTCCAAGCCTGAGGCAGCGTTTGTTCCCGACGCCGGAGCGGGCGGATCCGGGCTCTGCTCTTCGTGAGGTGCCCGGCTCCCCTCATCCATGAAATGGGAAGTTGGGAATTTTCTGCTCCGGCCGCCGGGCCCCAAATCGATCATTCCCGGCCGCACGCTCGGGAGCCGCCGGGAGCTGTCGGAGCGGGCTGGGAACGGGCTCGGGGACCCCCCCCCCGCCTCCTCCCGGGCTTTGAGATGGGAAAACAGAAGGAAGGGGGCTGGGGAAGGGGGGAGAGGCAATCCCGGCAATTCAGGGATGATCCTGGAGCTCTGGATCCTTGTCCAGACCGGGATACGCCGGGAGCAGCTTCGCGCCCCCACCCTCCCAGCCCAACCCCACCATTCCCGGGATTCTCCGAGGCGATTCGAGGGGCTTTTCCCCCCTTCTCCCGGGGCATTTGGGGAGCTGGGAATGCTGCGGGATGCGGTGGCTGGATGCACATCCCCGGTCCCCAGCTGGCGCATCCCGGGGGTTGGGCTCAGGCACGCACGTGTTCGGGAAGGAGGTGTGGGAAGCGCGTGTACACCGTCTATATATACACACCAACCCAGCCACCGGCTCCCGAGAACCCACGGATCCCAGGAATCCCAGGAGCCGGCAGCCGACAGCACACCGCAGGTAGGAATTCTGCTCGTCATTCCCGTTCCCATCCCTGCAGGAGGAATGTTGGGGAGGGGGGGGTGGTGGTCGCCTGCTTCTTTTGAATTCGAGGACGGTGCGTCCCGCCTGCGATCCGTGGATTTATATCCCCCCTTCTCCATCCCGGAGAGAGGGAAAAGTTTGGCTCTCCAGCCCCGAAATCAGCCGGAGCGGAGCCGCAGGGATGCAACAAGAGTCGGCCCGAAGCCCGGGGGGAAGCTCGCGGGCTTCCTTTGGGATAGGTGGGATTTTATTTTCCAGGGAATTTTTTTTCCTGGAGCCCTGCATCCCTCTCTTTTCCCCCCCCCCCCCCCCCATTCCCCTATTTCTCCTCCCTTTCTCTTCCAGCCAGGACTTCACCGGGCTCACCCACGGGATGCTTACCCGGCTCACCATCCCTTTTTCTTCCCCTCACCCCTAAAATGGCAAATAGGGGCAAAAATGGGATTATTTTTTGCGGTTGCTTTGTGTGCGTCCCACCTCCCCCCCTCCCAAAAAGAAAAAAAAAGCAGGAACGAAGGGCTGAGGCGCAGGGATGCGGGAATAAACGTTCTTCCCGAGGTTTTTTTCCCCCCTCCGAGCAGCCTTTCCCAGCCTCTCCAACCCGCATCTGTGTTTACAGTCACACGGCGGCCGCTCGTTTGGGCCAATTATGGCCAATTACCTGATTGAGGGGCACCGGGAAAAGGCGAAGCTGCTTTTTCTACCCAGCACCGGGCAGCTGGAGCCAAACCCCCCCTCCTCCTCCTCCTCTCCCATTCCCAAATCCCTCCTTTTCTCCCTAAAATCCCCCCCAGAAGCTGCCGTGGCACGGCCGGGATTTAGGGGGGAGCAGGAAGGTGTTTTGTGGTGCCAGCGGGGGGACACTCTTGGACGATATTGTGCTTTTTTGGGCTGGAAAAGGCTTTGAGTCCTTCCATGCTGGATCCCGGCGGGGGCTGGATCCTTCCCGCTCGCATCCCTCTTGCCCTCTGGATCAGGCCTTGCCTTTGGGCAGGGTGGGAATCAGGAGGATCCGATTGATCGGGGCTGGTTTTTTGCTCCGGGCACGGGAAGCCAAGAGCTGCGGGATGTGCTCCGCACGTGGCGGGATTAATCCCGGCCCGGAAAAACCGGGAAATCGCTGCCTTTTTTAACCCCCCCGGGTTTTGGGGAAGGATCGCGATCCCACCGCCGGGATAATCCCCGCGGTTCGCCTCTCCCGTGGGAAGAGGGGCTGGAGCATCCCCGGGGAAAGGCGGGGGAGCGTCTCCCCGGCCCAGATCACATCAAATGAAGCGAATAAATCCCATTTCAGGCAGCACCTGCTTCCCCTTCCACCTCCTCTCCTCGGGTCATTCCCAGCCCACATCCTTTCCCGAATCACCCCCTTTTCACGGCAGCGTTCTCCCCCGTCATCCCAATAAATAAAAGCCTCTTGTTCCTGATGGATAACCAGACCCCGGAACCACAGGGTTGGATTTCCACAGAAACCTCATTTTTTTTTTATCTCCCCCTCAAAAAAATGAATGAGTGTAATTCCACTGGATGGAAAAAAAACAACTCGTCAGGATTCAGCCCCGAGCGGCGGGGATGGAGTGGCTGGATCCCGACACACCCCTTGGCGTGGATGGGGTCGGTTTTTTGGGGGGGAGGAAAGGGGAAGGTTCGTGCCCGGGAGCGGCCTCGGTGTGGCCGTGACATCCCTTCCCGGGGGTCCGCGGCACCCCCCGACCACGAGGGTTGTGGATGGACATCCCTCGGGAAAGAGGGCCCAGAGCGAAAATATTTTTGAAACGGTGAAAAATGCCAAAAAAACCCCAAAAACAAATCGTGGAAAAATACAAGAAGGGCGGGGTGGGGAGAAACGGGGGGAAATAGGAGAGACTAGGGGAAAAATGGGGGGAAATAGGGGGAAAAAAGGGGGAAATTGGGGAAGAGCATCCCTCTTTTTCACATGGATTTGTGGCTGGGAAACTCAGGAAGGGGCTTCACCCCCTCACAAGGCTTTCAAAGGTGGGAGCAAGGAAAAAATTCGTCCTTCCCTTAGAACAGGTTGATTTAATTTTGGGGAGGGAGGGGGGTCAGTGACGCGCAGAGAGGGGGTTGTTTCCCTGTTTCCCAGCCCTGGCCGGCCGGGAATGCTGGCAGGGGCACGGCATCCCGATAACATCTTTCAATTAACCGGGAAGAAAAGCCGAGCCTTAATCTCGGCGCCTCCTCCTCCGCAGCCAGATGTGACCCCCGCTCTCTTCCCGCTTTTCCCGCTGCTTTTCCCGGGACGTTGGACTCGGTGTCCCCTTGGCGACATGGAAGGGGTGGGGGGGGTGGCTTTTCCAGCCCTTTCCCTGCCTCTCCCGAATTCCCGTTGAGGGGCTGCGCGGTTTTTCCAGAGGGGGTTTGCCCTCTCCTGGGAGCTTCCTGCCAAGGCTCTGACTCAGCCGCCAGCCGGGTTTTAATGACTCGGTGGGAGATTAAGCCTTAATTCCCGCTCCTTTATCAGCTTCCCCTCGGACCCTCCGGCAAACGGCAACCGGGAGCTGCCGGGCTTCCTGGAGGGGACAAAAGGTGACCCTCGTGCCACTCGGGGAGCTGGGAAGGTGCTGGAAGAAAAAAAGGGAGGGGGGCGGCTGTCCTTGGAGGGGCGGGAAATAAATGGGGAACCTTTTCCCAGGTGATCGACTGCCCCCCCCCAAAACCTGGATGATGGAGCGACACCCCAGGTCTTCTCGATCCAGGGTTTTCTGGGTGCTGTTCCAGCACGGAGGGACCTGGGTGGCACCAAACTTCCCGTCCCCGTCCGTCACCTCCATCTCAATCCCCTCTCCTTGTGCCACGAAGCACTGGGATCTGCTCCCAAGGGCCGCAGGGATGTTGGATCCCTTTTCCCAGCGGGATGAAGGGGGTCAGGAGGACCAACATTCCCGTTTCCAGGCGGCCCCTGCGGGATAAACCTCCAGGAATTAGCCCTGGTCGGGTCATTTAATGACACCTAATGACACTCGCCTGTCACCGATGTTGGTGCCAGCCAGACGGGACACGGCGGGTTCTGCGGGAATCGCCTTTGCTGCCCCAGATCCCGGGAAAAAGACGGGGATTAGGGGGATGGCAGCGCCCCAAAAAGACACCCAGGAAGGAAAACTGGAAGAAGGGGGGGGGGACGGACGACAATCCTCTCCCGGCTCCGGGCAGCGCTGGGCTAAAGGAGCGCCCTGCTCCGGGGACAGCCGGGGGACGTGCCGCCCCGCCACGTCCGCCTTTCCTAAAATAAGCCCCGTCCGGGCCTCGTGCCATGGGATAACCTGGAAAAAACTCAACCGGGATCCCTTTCGGGGGCGGGGAGGGTGGTGGTGGGGGGAAGCAGCCGGGCTCCTTTTCCCCGAAAGGATAATTTTGGACGGGGCGAGCAGGGAGGGGGGGATAAGCGAGGAGCGATCGGGAGGTGCCGGCGGTGGCCCGGAGCCGTATCCCGGTGTGACGGAGGGTGGGGGGGGATCCCTGTCTCCCGTTTTTTTTTCCAGGCGCTGCCGGGGGGCCGGTGCCGCCATGAGGGCCGTGCTCTGGGACCTGCTGCTGCTCTGCCTGTTCGCCCGGGCGCGGGGGGACTGCCGGGGGGACTGTCTGCACTGCGACCGTCAGCTCTATCGCGACTCCTTCGACGTCCTCGTGAGTCCCCCGGGGCGGGGGTGATGACACTCTGCTGGCCCCCGGACAGTGCCCACCCTGCCCCACCCAAGCCCTTGGGCGGGGTGATCCCAAGGAAAGGGCGCAGGGCAAAAATTGGGAGCGCTGGGGACAAGGTTGGGATGGCTCAGGGAGGGTCCTAAAAAATCCCTGAGCATTCCCGGCTTTCCTGCGTCCCGAAGCCCCGAGAATGTCCAGCTTTCCTGCATCCCAAGGCCCTGAGCATCATCCTGAGCATTCCCAGTTTCCTGCATCCCAAACCCCTGAGCATCATCCTGAACATCCCCAGATTTCCTGCATCCCAAACCCTGAGCATCCCCAGCTTTCCTGCATCCCAAAGACCTGAGAATGTCCAGCATCCTGCATCCCACATCCTCAGCATTCCCAGTTTCCTGCATCCCAAACCCTGAGCATTCCCACTTTCCTGCATCCCAAACCCCTGAGCATCATCCTGAACATCCCCATCTTTCCTGCATCCCAAACCCTGAGCATCATCCTGAACATCCCCAGCTTTCCTGCATCCCAAACCCTGAGCATTCCCAGTTTCCTGCATCCCAAACCCTGAGCATTCCCAGCTTTCCTGCATCCCA